GTTCTCTAAGATAGACCTGAGGTCGAGGTACCACTAATTAAAAATAAAAGAGGATGATATTTCAAAGACGTCTTTTCAAACTTGGTATGGACATTACCAATTTGTGGTGATGCCATTTGAATTGACTAATGCTCCCACAGTATTTATGGACTTGATGAACCGAGTATTCCAACCTTACTTGGATTAATTCGTGGTGGTATTTATAGATGATATTTTGGTGTATTCCAAGTCAAGAGAGTAACATGATGCTCAACTTTGAGTAATTCTTCAAACACTTCGAGAAAAGAAGTTGTATGCCAAATTGTCCCAGTGTGAATGTTAGTTAGCTGAGATTGCTTTCCTTGGTCATATAGTCTCCGCAGAAGGCATAAGAGTAGATCCCAAAAAGATTCAAGCTATAGTGGATTGGTAACCCCCAAAGAATGTTTTAGAAGTTCAGAGTTTCTTGGGGCTTACTGGTTATTATAGACTGTTCGTGAAGAACTTCTCAATGTTAGCTTCATCGTTAACTAATTTTTTACGGAAAGAAATGCCTTTTTTGGTTGGAGAAATGCCAAGAAAGTTTTGAAATGCTAAAAAGAAACATAAGACGCCTTAGTGCTCGTACAATCTGAGTCGGGTAAAGACTATGTGGTATTTAGTGATGCATCTCATAATGGGTTGGGATGTGTGATTATGCAAGATGGAAAATTTGTGGCTTATGACTAAAGACAATTGAAAACGCACGAGAGAATTTACCCAACACATGACATGGAATTGGCAGCTGTTGTGTTTGCTTTAAAATTTTGGCATCATTATCTGTGCGGTGAGTGTTGTCATATTTATACGGATCACAAGAGTCTAAAGTACTTGCTGACTCAAAAAGAACTAAACTTGAGAAAGAGAAGGAAGATCGATTATCATCTTGGGAAGGCTAATGTGGTAGCGGATGCACTTAGCCGAAATAATTTTGCCGCTCTACGGGCTTTGGATGCGCGTATATCTTTAAAGGAAGATGATACCTTGATTGTTGAACTTAAGTTAAAGTTGAAGCTTTTTGATCGGGTAAAAGAGCTGCAAGGTCAATATGAGAAATGCTTGGCGAAAATGGTGCAAGTAGAAAAAGAATAGGTCAAAGACTTCGAAATGAGGGTCGATGGATGTTTATATAATCCTGGAAGACTTTACATTCCTAATAATGAAGAATTAAAGAAAGATATTCTTTTTGAGGCACACTATAGTCCTTTGACGATGCATCTAGACGGAAATAAAATGTATCAGAGTCGTTATTGGTGGCCTGGTATGAAAAAGGTTGTATCAGAGTTTGTTGTGTGATGTTTGACATGTCAGCAAGTGAAAGCTGAACATCAAGTGCCTTCTAGATTGCTACAACCAATATTCATTCCTGAGTGGAAGTGGGAATGAGTTATAATAGATTTTGTTTCGGGGCTACCTTTGTCACTGGGTAAAAAAGATTCGGTATGGGTAACTGTAGATAAATTGACCAAGACAGCTCATTTATTCCAGTTCGGGTAAATTACTTGATGGATAAATATGTGGAATTGTATATAAAAGATATAATTTTGCTGCATAGAGTGCCTATATCATTAGTTGGTGGGTGTCGAATCTAACAAATAATAATACTTGCTTTTTAGAAATATAAATTGTAGTAGTGATAAGAAAGGTCAAATCCACAGGGATTTGGTAGATTTATTCTAATGAAAATTAAAGCAAAGAAAATGGGGTTTTAAAATTGATGAAAATAAAGACAAAAAGCAATTATAATAAACTAAGAATTTAGAGAAATCAATATTAAGGAAATATCCAACTAAAGGTATAATTTCAAAATTGATTCAGAGAATTGATCATAGATGCAATGATAAAATCTTCTACTTTTCACTAAATTGATTATGGTTATTGAGAAGCTGTAACAACTTGTCTCTCCTTAGTTTCTCGATAATCAAGAGAAGCTCTTTGATTATTTCCCTAGTTAATGAACAACCCTAGACAAGCTCTTAAGATTTAATCCACCAATAACATTGATCACTAGAGGGAACACCAATTCTAGCCAACAAATACGCAAGCTCGATTCATTTAGACTAGGTTATATACCTTCATAACATAATCATAATCAACCATGTTACTTTACCACTAATATTAGAACATTTAAACAATTACGGATTTAAAGTTCTAAATGGTAATTTATCAACCTGATAATTGAACAACGGATCCTTTGCACAATAAATCAAGACAATAATTCTTAATAAAAGCAGAAGATATATAAATAGTAAAGAAGTAAAAGAACAATGAAAATTATTTAGATCTCACAATCCTTGAAGAACAAAAACTTCAATTATCCTTCCGTTGGAACAAAAGTATTTAGCTACTCATAATTGAAAGAAATTAAAAGAAAATAAAGATGAAAACTTAATGTAAAACTTGATGTCCCACTAATGAAAGCCCTAGCTCCCCTTTTATAAGGATTTTCCTATTATAAATAAGGAAGTTTCCCTTAAAGAAAATCCCACAAAAATAGGAGTTTTAAATGCCCTCATCTTTTTCTAAAGATAAGAATAAAACAAAAGAGTCTTCCAGCCGTCATTAAACTCTTTTTCCTTTGTAAATTAGTAGCCCTAATTTAGGGTTACACGGACTAGTAAGGCGCGCCCACGCCTTAACTGAAGACTTCTTCTGCGGTAGTTCAGGATGAATAAGCCGTGCCCACGCCTTATGCGAAAAACTCTTCTGGTCTTGCCAACTTCTTGAATTCTGATTTTTCCTCCTTAATTTGGGGATTTTGTGAAGATCATGCTAATCATTAGATTTTGAACTTGTTTTATCCAAATCTTCAATCTAATCCAAAAAATACGAAATATAATCAAAATCCATGATTTAAGCAATTTTAGTTATTCAAATATGAGGAAAATATCATAGAATATATGTCTAATATACATCTTATCAAATTCCCCCACACTTAAACCAATGCTTGTCCTCAAGCATACAATAGTTCAAATTCACAACTCTTCTCAACATCAATCCTTCTTCTTCCTTTGCTCATCCTTCCACAATCAAAATTGTCATGCCTTAAGAATCAAATCTAAACACAAGTAAGGAACGAGCAATTCATAGAAGAAATTATCATAAACCAAAACACATGAATAATCACTCCATCAATCATTTCGAAATCAAAATGCAGTGGGATCTAATACCCTCACATTGGATTCACTCAATATGCTCGAAGTGTTTAAGGGTGTTAACAAACTCTCAAGCCAAAACATAGAAAATTTTTACCATAGGCTTACTAACCTATCACATCCCCACCACTAGTCAATGAATTGAATGCATAAAAACCTCAGGGTTTTAAACATGGTGTAATGGGGCTTAGGCGAGGTTTGATAGAAAAGGAATTTGAGCTGTTTTATTGAAGGAGTCATAAAAACTTATCCACATAGAACTCAATCTTCAAATGTTCTCTTCAAGCCATATAACTTTTTTTTTCAATGCACAATCTCTCTTTCTTTATTTCCTTTGCACAATTTTTCTTTTTTTTCTTTTCTCTTTTTTTTTCTTTTGTTTTTTTTCAATGAAAGAGATTGCAACTCGAATCACTATATTCCAACATCTTCCGATCTTCTCAAGATAATTTGAATTCTCATGTGAAGAAGCTCATATAATCCTCCAATTCAAGGTTCAAAAGAGGGGAAATTAACAAAAAGGATTTAATATTTACTTGTACCATGGTTAATTTCAAACAAAAAGGCTCAGGCTCAAAATTGGCTTTCTAAGGATGATAATCAGGGTAGGCTCTTTACGAAAGCTAAAAGTGGTTTCACCTAAATGCCCTTATCGTTCTTGATGCATCCAATTCTAAAATGTGGTCTTCGACATGTATAGTAAAGCAAGTTCTAGAAAAATTAACTATGTATGGCAATCACTCAATCAAGAAATGGAGCATGCTGAAAGTGAGTGCTCATTGGCCCAAAAACTCACAAAAAGGGTAAACATGTATCAAATCCCACACATTTTTCATTCAATCAATCATCAAGAGTAATCAACCAGTGTGTAGTAAACAAAAATTCAACTACTCAAGCTAATCCCCTATTATGCTTCAACTTAATTCAATAATTCAAAACAATCCAAATTATGTAAAGACAAACATTGAAAGAATCTGGAATTTTGAAGAGAAAAATCACAAACAAGAACTAAAGCATACTTTTTTTTTGAAAAAAATTTGAAGAAAAATTATGTTCAAAGCAAAACCATGTATGAAATACTCTCCCCCACACTTAATCCATACATTGTCCTCAATGTATTAAAAGTAGATGCTCAAAAACCATAAAAAGGGTAACAGTAGAAAACTCCCCTGAAAATATTGAGCATCAACCACGATATCTATCACGAGATGGGAGTGAAGGCGCTGTGCGTCGGCTGGGTTGATTCTCGGACTGAGCGGAGATGTGGGTCAGGTTGAGCGGAGAGGACGGTTGGTGGCGCGCATTCTTCTGAAGGAGCACAAAAATAAAGAAAAGATGAGGCACATTTATATTTGAATCTTGTTTCCTGAACCAGAAGTGGTGTTGAGTTTAGACGTGGGAACGTCTTATATAAAAACATCTTCTGGATAGTGAGAGACTTTAGGAATAATTCTGCTTTTGTAAGGCGTGCCCAGGGGTTACAAAAATTCATCTTCTGACCTAAAGAGGAAAACAAGAATAATTGTACTCCGAAAAATCAAGGAAAAATAAAATAAAAAGAACAAAAATAGAAATTAAAAAAAAAAGAGAAAAATTGGGTTGCCTCCCAAGAGCGCCTTTCTTTAACATCTTTGGCTAGACGTTTTAGCTTCTCAATTATCCTAAGTTGGGTACTCCAAAATGGTTTGACCAACAGTATGCACCAGAAAACCTTCATAAAAAGGTTTGAAACGATGATCATCGACCTTAAATATTTGACCTGTATCCAAACCTTGTATTTCAACGATAGAGAATTTTTTTCCTCCACCCAATTGCTTCTTTGTACTCTCAAAGCATTAGAATCAACTTTTCTTCTTCTAAGCGAGAGAGTTTGTTGGGAATGATCACCGGAATAGTTTTCTCTTCTCCTAGATATACATGCTTCAGATGATTTGACAAAGGCTTCATTTTCAATTTTGGTGCCTGCACAAGAGAAGGAAGAAGCTTGGTGTGAGAAAGATGTGACTCAATATAAGATACATCATACCTCATGGGTTTGAGTGATTCTAGTTCTTGGATTGTATCTTGCAAATCAAGTTCCAATACAAACTCTTTCATGATTCCCTGCAATCCTTCAGGAGTGAAATTCATGTCGAGTGCAACTTTCAACTTGTCATCATTATTTAAATCAAAAATTTCAATAACATCCATGACAAAAATATAGGACACATCACCAGGACATCTCATGGCATCATAAATATTGAATTTAATAATTTCACCATCAAAATCCATGGTAAGTGTACCATCATCTACATCAATTTTTGTCCTAGCTGTTTTCAAAAATGGTCTTCCTAACAAAATTGATGTTGACTTAGAATAATCATCTTCTTGCATATCAATCGCATAAAAATCTACAGGAAAAATCAATTCATTGACTTGCACCAAAACATCCTCTAAAACTCCCTCAGGATATACATTAGATCTGTCAGCTAGTTGAATAATCACTCCTGTCGCTTTCAAAGGACCAACGTTCAAAGATGAGTAAATAGAGAGAGGCATGACATTTATTGAAACTCCTAGATCTCACATTTCTCTCTCAATCCTAACATTACCGAGTTTACAAGGGATAGTAAACATATCTGGGTCTTTGCACTTGGGGGTAGTTTTTTCTGGAGGACAGCTGAAACATTCTCCCCCATACTTACCTTTTCATTTCCCTTGAGATTTCTCTTGTTGGTGCACAATTCTTTAAGAACTTTAGCATATCGAGGTACTTGTTTAATTGCATCAAGTAAAGGAATATTTACCTCGATCTTGTGAAATATCTCAAGAATTTATTTCTCTTCTGCTTCTTTCTTGGATTTAGCGAATCTAGAGGGAAAATGAGGTTCTATGGCAAATTCCTTCAATTTTTCACTTTTGAGTCGTTTATGTTGGTCTTTCTGAGTTTGAGGAGCAACAACTTCCTTTTCAGTTTTTTCCTCTAAGGCTCTCCCATGTGCCAATGGACTAGGTTCCTTCAACTCCTTTCCACTTCTCAATGTGATTTACTAACATTTTGTTTTGGATTAACAATGGTTTGTGAAGGTAACTTACCTTGGGATTCTAACTGATTCACGGATAATGCCAATTGACTCACTTGATTCTCCAAATTTTGTATGCTTGTTCTTGTCTCTTGCTGAAATTGTTGTGTGTTGGTTGCAAGTTATTTGACAATTTCTTCTAGGGACATACCCGGCTTTGAAGAAGACTGCTCAGGTGGAGAACGCTGGAATTGTGATGGTCTTGGTCCATATCTAAGGTTAGGATGATCCCTCCATCCTGGATTGTAGGTATTTAAGTAATGATCATATTTCCTTTGTGGGGGATCGAGAAACCTTCCAACTGTATTAGCGTACTCATGAGAATCATCTTGAAGTGTAGGACACATGTCAGTTGGGTAACCGATCGCAACACATATCCCACAAGCTTTCACTTGCTGCGTTTTTCCTACAACTAGTTGTTGAACAAGGGAGGTGAGATGCGATAATTGATGTTCAATGGAGGACGAACCTACCTCGTTCACCCTTCTTGAAGATGTGTCTTACCTAAAGCCAAATTATTGTGAATTGGGCAATTCCCTAACATCGTGAGGAGTCTTGTTCACTATGGCACCTCCACTGGCTGCATCCATCATCTTCCTTTCCATGGGTAGAAGTCCCTCATAGAAATATTGGATGAGAAGTTGCTCAGAAATCCCATGTTGAGGGCAGCTTGCATACAGTCGTTTGAATCGTTCCCAATACTCGTGAAGGGTCTCAGTATCTTTTTGTTTTGTTCCACATATCTCCCTTCGAATGCCAGTGGCTCTTGAAGCATGGAAAAATTTATCAAGGAACATCCTCACCATCTCGGCCCAAGTAGTTACAGAACCTGGGGCTAAATAGAAGAGTCAATCTTTAGCTCTATCGGTTAGCGAGAACGGAAAAGCGCGTAATTTTACCTGTTCTTCTATCACTCCTTGCAGTCTCATACTTGAACATACCACATGAAATTCCTTCAAATGCTTATGAGGATCTTCATTCTCAAGTCCATGAAAAGTAGCCAACAAATGAATCAAACCAGATTTTAATTCAAAAGCTACCTCCAAAGTTGGGTAGTCAATGCAGATTGGTTGTTGATTCACATTTGGTGCAGCCAATTCACTTAGAGTTCTTTCTTTGTTGGCCATTGTTCCTTCTACTTCAGAATCGCTGGATGAATCAACCAAGTTGAGTGCTGATTTCGATTCAGGGGATGAAGAATAAGAAGCTTGTTTGTTGCGCAAGTTAGTTTCTTTTCTTAACATGCGAGCGGTCTTCTCGATTTTAGGATCGTATTGGAGTTCACCTGCACGAGAAGAATAGGGCATCAAAATAAATCTAAATAACACCAATCCCCGGCAACGGCGCCAAAAATTTGGTGGGTGTCGAATCTAACAAATAATAATACTTGCTTTTTAGAAATATAAATTATAGTAGTGATAAGCAAGGTCAAATCCACAGGGAATTGGTAGATTTATTCTAATGAAAATTAAAGAAAATAAAATGGGGTTTTGAAATTGATTAAAATAAAGACAAAAAACAATTATAATAAACTAAGAATTTAGAGAAATCAATATTAAGGAAATATCCAACTAAAGGTATAATTTCAGAATTGATTCAGAGAATTGATCATAGATGCAATGATAAAATCTTCTACTTTTCACTAAATTGGTTATGGTTATTGAGAAGCTCTAACAACCTGTCTCTCCTTAGTTTCTCGATAATCAAGAGAAGCTCTTTGATTATTTCCCTAGTTAATGAACAACCCTAGACAAGCTCTTAAGAATTAATCCACCAATAGCCTTAATCACTAGAGGGACCACCAATTCTAGCCAACAAATACGCAAGCTCGATTCATTTAAACTAGGTTATATACCTTCATAACATAATCATAATCAACCATGTTACTTTACCACTAATATTAGAACATTTAAACAATTACGGATTTAAAGTTCTAAATGGCAATTTATCAACCTGATAATTGAACAACGGGTCCTTTGCACAATCAATCAAGACAATAATTCTTAATAAAAGCAGAAGATATATAAATAGTAATGAAGTAAAAGAACAATGAAAATTATTTAGATCTCGCAATCCTTGAAGAACCAAAACTTCAATTATCCTTCAGTTGGAACAAAAGTATTTAGCTACTCATAATTGAAAGAAAACTAAAAGAAAATAAAGATGAAAACTTAATGTAAAACTTGATGTCCCACTAATGAAAGCCCTAGCTCCCCTTTTATAAGGATTTTCCTATTATAGATAAGGAAGTTTCCCTTAAAGAAAATCCCACAAAAATAGGAGTTTTAAATGCCCTCATCTTTTTCTAAAGATAAGAATAAATCAAAAGAGTCTTCCATCCGTCATTAAACTCTTTTTCCTTTGTAAATTCGTAGCCCTAATTTAGGGATACACGGACTAGTAAGGCGTGCCCACGCCTTAACTAAAGACTTCTTCTGCGGTAGTTCAGGATGAATAAGCCGTGCCCACGCCTTATGCGAAAACCTCTTCTGGTCATGCCAACTTCTTGAATTCCAATTTTTCCTCCTTAATTTATGGATTTTGTGAAGATCATGCTAATCATTATATTTTGAACTTGTTTTATCCAAATCTTTAACCTAATCCACAAAATACGAAATATAATCAAAATCCATGATTTAAGCAATTTTAGTTATTCAAATATGAGGAAAATATCATAGAATATATGTCTAATATTCATCTTATCATTAGTGTTCGATCGAGACCCAAGGTTTACCTCAAGATTTTGGAAGTCCTTACAAGAGGCATTGGGTACTCAATTGAATTTCAGCATAACTTTTCATCCCCAAATAGATGGGCATTCAGAACGAACTATTTAGATATTAGAGGATATGCTAAGGGCATGTGTGATTAAGTTTAATGGATCATGGGAAAGGTATTTTCCTTTAGCGGAATTTACTTATAATAATAGTTACCAATCGAGTATTAAGATGGCCCCGTATGAAGCTTTGTATAAGAGGAAGTATAGAAAACCATTAAATTGGTTTGAACTAAGCCTGGATTTGATGAAAGAAATGGAGGAGAAAGTTAAAGTTATTCAGGATAATCTAATGATAGCCTCCAATAGACAAAAGTCTTATGCTGATTTGAAAAGAAAAGAAATTGAATTTCAAGTGGGACACAAGGTATTTCTGAAAGTGTCGCCTTGGATGAAAGTATTTTGGTTTTGACGCAAAGGAAAGTAGAGTCCGAGATTCATTGTACCTTATGAGATTTTGAAAAGGGTTGGACCAATAGCTTATCAGTTAGCTTTGCCTCTGAATATGGATAAGATCCACAATGTTTTCAACGTGTTGATGCTCAGAAGGTACTGATCAAATCCATCCCATGTTATCACACCAAAGGAAATAGAGATCCAACCAGATTTAACTTATGAGGAATAACCAGAGCGGATCTTAGCTAGAGAAAACAAGGAACTGTGTAACAAGAATATTCCTTTAGTTAACGTGCTCTGGCAGAACCATAAGGTAGAATAAGCTACTTGGGAAAGTGCGGAGGAGATGAGGAAGCATTTTCCATACCTCTTCGTATCAGGTACTTCTTTAAATTTGAGGACTAATTTTCATAAGGGGAGAATTATAATACCCCCAAATATTAGGCCAGTGACTATTTTGAAAGGATTTAAAAATTTGGAGGATTAAATTAAATAAATTGTAAAGTACAAGAAAATGATTTAGAAATTGTGTGTAAGACCAATTAGTAAGAATGGAAGAATGAAAGGGTATTTTGGTCCTTTAGATGGAAATGGAATTAAAATCCATTTTGAATATGGTATTTAAGAAAAGGAAAAAGGGGAAAGTGGAAAAAGAAGCTAAGTTCATTTCTCTTCTCCTTATTCGCGTGTGCCTGTTATCTTAATAACCTAAGGTGAGTTTCATCCAAGTTGGTTTTTGCTTTAGTTTCCTGGCTGGTATTGAAACCTTGAGTGTTATAGAGGCTTAAAGAAGAATTAAAGATGATTAAAACTAAGAGATGGATGATTTATTTGAGATTGAAGAAAATGGCTTTTTGATTGATATGTTGAAATATGAGTTTTTATTGAGGTTTACTAGTATATTTGACTTGTTAAATAAGTAAATGAGAGATGAGAAGCATTGGATGTGATTAAAAATATGTATGAAAAAGTAGTATGATTTTTAGTTTGGGATGTTCTTTGGAGATTGTAAATGTTATAAGAAGCTAAATGAAGGAATTTAAGTTGGGATAAGTAAGGAAGAGTGTAATAGTATTGTTGGGGGTAAAAGTAAGGGAATTTGACGAAAATTGGGTAAAACTCGAGATGAAAAATTGAAAATATGGGTAAGGGTATCGGTACTGCAAGAACAATACCGATACTACCAGTTTAAATTTGAAGAATTACGATGAGCAATATCGATACTGATGCAATTAATATCGATATTACTGTGGGTATCAATATTAAGAGAAAGGTATCGATACCACGGATTCCATAATGCAAAA